TTAACATAGCTAAACATTTTACCCACATTAGACAGGCTCAACATTCATGGACAGATACAGCTAAACAACAGATGACCCTTGCAAAATAAAATAAAATAAAAAACATATATTTACCATGTTTTAAAAAGTTGTCCTATAGAAAATTACAAGACCACATGTGATCACTAAAACATGGTGAAAATGTTCCACATTCACAAAGAAAACACATGCAAACCTTGTTTCATGCATTAACGTCGCCTGGAAGGTTGATGATGTGTGTGCAAAAGACTGTGTTTATGTGTCTGTCATTTAAATAGCCACAATTTGTGATCGGAAATGTCCCTCCGTGTCGATTAGATCACTCTTAACACACACATGCACGGCAGGAATTTCTCCTAAAAGGATCTCAGCCATCATGATTATCGGAGCATCCTTAAGATTGTCAAAACGGGGCCAAAGATTGGCACAGTTATCATGCCATGAGAACCCGGCAACTTTAGCAAACATGAAAATGTAATTTAATTTTGTCAGTTTAAAGATATTCGACAAACATTTTGTGCGGTGGCAGCTGGGAGTCATTCCCAACATTGAGTCAAACACTTACAGACCAAGCACCTGCAATAATTTTGTTTTTAAGATTTAACCAACAGGCTCCAACGTTTTCATCCTGTTTTTATGACTCTGAATAATTTATCTTTGTGATCTCGGAAACTTTTTAAGACCACCTTGCTACTTTTAGAGGCACGGTGGCTCAGTTGGTAGAGCTGTTGCCTCTTAGCAAGAAGGTTGCTGGATCAAATCCCAGCCAGGGACGTTTCTGGGTAGAGCTTGCATGTTATCTTCATGTACGTGTGTGTTATTTCCAGTTTCCTTGACTGTCATGTTAGTTGGGAACTCTTAAATTGTACCTAGGTGTGAGTGAGCGAGTCAGTGGWTGGAATGGTGCCCCCCACAGGATATGGACACCTGTGACCCTGAAAGGAAGAAGCAGGTAAATGATGAAGGATTCAAGATTATTTCTGAAAGCCAAGATATTGTAGATCAACTGTTTCTATGATTAGAGATCAAACTGACTGATGTGAAAAAAATCAGGTGTTTAAAACGTTTGTAAGTCCACATTGTTGTTCTGTTTACTCATCTTTTCCTTTAACTTTTAATTCCTCAAATGAGGTCCTATCATCACCTGCTGACCACAAAACAAAGATTTGTCAATTGATCTAAACCAGGCACACATTTTCTGTCATTTTGTAAAGTATTTCTTTAAATTCACCTGACAATTAAAAATAAACACAAACAATACAATTTGACTTTATTCTTTCAATCCACCCCTTCTAAAAGGTTTTGCCAGTGCAGCTCAAATTTTTTAGTAAGAGCTTACTGAGGGGAGAGAAACCTCATTTTCTTTCAGTGGATTCTCACCTTTAAGTTCCATTTAGTTTACAATCGCTCTGTCAGAGTTTTATTTCGCTCACGTACTTGCTCTTCGCCTGAATTGAACATTTTAATTTCTCAGACGGCCCCGATTTCTTTAGAGCCTCACGACATGCTCGCACTCTTTCTTTCACTCGCTCGAATGACATTGAACAGCACAAGGACGCCGGTGAAAGCAGCGTACACGGAGGAGCGAGGGAGGAGAGAGGGACTTCATTTAGAGATAACTGGTCTGCAAAGAGGAGGCAAAAAACGTTCAAATGACCCTCAAAGTCAGCCATGTGAAAGCTGCAGAGTAATTATTTCAGCGAAACGCGCCATAAAATACAGTTTTATCAGCTACGGCCCGACATGCCCTGAGAACATCAAAGGGAAATCAATGAGACACCTGCATTCTGAGCCAATCCATCATCTGAAGCAGAGCTGTCAGTCTGAAATTAAGGAGACATGAGAGTAAACATACCGAGGTGTTACAGCACCAGCATAATAAATGAAGAAAATTAGGATATGATAAATGTATATGCATATTAATAAAATCCTAGGTTATTGTATTTTAGATAAAATAATTTAAAACAGTTAAAAGCTATACACTGAAAAAAAGGATTTTTGGGTTTAGTAACATTTATTTAATTATTCTTTTAAATTTTACAAAAAAAATCAAAATTTCTGAACTACTAGAATTTACTAAATAAACAATATGCATTATATTATGTATCAATATTACTGTACAAAAAAGTAAATGCTAATATTATTTTATCAGTAATGTTTAAGTGCTTTTTTCTGGACAGCATATAAACATGAATATATTAAGTAACTTCTACTCTTCTGGGCTCAAACTGAGGGTGCATGCACACACAAAGGCTGCTCCTCATTCCCTTGCTTCACTTTTCAAGGAGAGGACAAGACATGGTCGAAATAAAACATAAGTTGTCTGGTTTCTTTTGCGTGAATACATTTGTTGGTGTGCAACAGTTTGATGGCATAATGTAGGTGATATTTAGTTGTCAGGGAACAGGGAATGCAAATTGTAGCATTCTGCTGTGTTTGGCTGTTTGTCATGTGACTGCAGTGGAGGATTGTGGGTAGGATTCATGTTTGTTGTTGTTAAATCATTTTAGGGAATTGGTTAACATTGTTCTTTCAGCAATTAATCTGTTGTGCTACTCGAATTTGTGTGTTCATTATTTGTTAACTTGTGTTAAATCGTTCAGCAGAAGTAACCATAAGTGAGGGTAGGCCTGGTCATTAATAAGACCTGTCAGTTTCACTTTGTGTTGTTCATGAAGAAGAATCCAATAAAGGTTCTTCAAAACCACCACCTGCACTTTCTCTGTAGCTGTGAGGTGTCATGCCACAATATTGTGCTTGACGCATGTGCACTGTTATAAAGAACTTGTAAGATTTACTAGAAAAATATCCTCATAACAATTTGCATTAATGTTTCTTAAGTAAATTTAAAAGCTACAAATTCAAGTAAAATTTACTCATCATTATCTAGCAAAAGTTATTAAGAATATAGTTAAAGATTTGTGAATAAATCAGGTAAATTTKACTTAATTTGATCAAGTATATGTTACAAGATTTAATTGAGCAAATTAAGTAAAATTTACCTGATTTATTCACAAAGCTTTAACTATATTCTTAATAACTTTTACTAGATAATGATAAGAGTAAATATTATATAAATTTGTAGCATTTAAATTTACCTAACAAACGTTAGTGCAAATCGTTTACAGGATGTTTAGTAAATCTTACAAGTTATTTAAAAAAATTCTTACAAGTTATTTTTTACAGTGTAGGTCTGCTGATGTGTGCCAGTTATTAATATATCCTGACCCTTATAAGTACTGCTGAGTGCAAAACTCATTTTTATTTCCCAACTAGAACTTTGTGACTTTAAATGTTCTGCCTCACTGAGCTGTGACGGCTGGGAGGGTAGTTGGTGACTCAGTATCACGGTAAAAATACACAGCTTTGTTTGTAACAGTCTCACAGAATTCTGAGGGTTTTGAAACAAGTCAGCACCAGGCCTGTTCAAAACTCAAGCACGTTTCTGAACTCAGACGAGGAAATTGAGAAGCCAGCGAAGGGAGACTCCCTCGTGAATGAGGTTCACCAATCACTGTGGAAGGCTGTGGGGCAGTAGTAGGGCAGAAGACTTGGGATTCCCCGCCATGCCCATATGTTGTGGTGTCCTTGAGCAAGACACCTAATCCCTAACTGCTACCCGGGCACGTAAACTGCTGCTTGGCGCCGCTCCATTTGGGTGTATGAAGGGTCAAATGCAGAGCATAAATCTCACCATTGTATGGGAACATGCATTGATGACAATGCAAAGTATAATTACACAGCTCACTAAGATACCAGCTTAAACAAGCAAAACAAATTCACGTTATATTTGATTATGTTAGACTGCCCTGTTGGCAACAAACGGCATTGATATATAAAAAAATATCACTGACATCTGTGAAAATAAAACTAATTTGTTGTGTTTCGTCTAATTGGGTTTTGTAAATGTAGTATTTCACTGGGCTGAGACTTTCGGAGATTAACTGTAGACACAAAGTTACAGGAAAATCCCAATGTTTTCTTGTGCTGCCAATGAACTGTGGGCCAGAAATTAGAATTTATTTCAACAAAACAAAAATAAAACAAATAAACATCATAGAAAAAAACTATCATAGGTTTGGAAACTAAATTGAGAAGAGTACAACACAAGTTCCAGAAACCCACAATGAATCTGTGACAACAATATTTTGAGGGGAAAATTGTTGTAAAGTTGCAAATGTCAAGGCAGTGTGGAGGAAAGAGAAAATTTACGCTAATTTTACGAGACATTTTGGACACTCCCTTGTAAATTCTAGACACATTTTGTCACCAGCAGTTGCAACCTGGTGAAAATTAACCTAAAGAATCTACCACATGCCTTTGTCAGAACGAGGGTTTTCTAATGAATAAAAAAATGTATATATTATTTTTTAACCTTTAATCAGGCAAATCCTATTGCTTTCACAGATCTCTTTTGCAGTGGAGGCCTGAGCCTGAAGGCAACATAACATGCATGTTTTTAGTCTCCATGGAAACTGGAGAAACCAGAGAAAACCTCTTGCAAGCACAAAGGGAACATGCAAATGCCACAAAGACAGACTCCGGGAATTGAACGCAGGACCCTCTTGCTGTGAGGCAGCAGTACTAACCAATGACCCACCGTGCTGTTTCTTTTATTACTGTAAAGTTTTTCCTGTAGTTCTCCTGGTTGACATCCAGGGGGGGGCACTTTCTTCTTTTTCACAGCCAGAAAGCCACTTGTTTCTTTGTATATTCAGGACCACAGTTTGTATTTATTACACAGTATGTGGCAAATTTTGCAATAAATCTTTAAATATCATCACAGTTTGTGTTCATCACAGAATTTTCTGTCCTGAATGGATGAGGCTGCTCTCACGAGTGCTCGGCAAACCTGACAAAATGGATCCAGTATTAAGATGTATTTATTTTTATCCTCAGCAGGTGTGTCTGATCACATTGACATTTTATTTGGAGTGATGGGCTCACTGGTGCAGACATGTGTAATAAGTATTTGTGTTGACCTGTAACACTTGCTGTGCGGGTGCAGTTGTACAGGACGGCCAGCTCTCCAAACACCTTCCCTGGTCCCATGGTGCACACTTTCTTCCCCTGTTTGGTCACCTCTACTGTTCCCTCTGTGAACACACAAAAACATGAATTATTCAGTGATGAAACAGTGTTCTTTCAGCTCACTGACAGGTGATTTGGTTTTGATTTTCTTTGTTTGAAGTGTTATAATATTACCTGTGCATCACAAAGCTATTAATCCAAGGAAGGCACGTGCACTGTTCGTAGTAAATATTTGATGAGGGCCAGCTCCAATTAGCCAGTTTTTTTTCTCCCTTTCTTTTCTCTTTAATCTTTTTTTGTGTGTGATTAGAGAAGAAAAGTCTGGCATGTGGTTGGTTATCATTTTCAAAACTACCCGGATGACGCTTCCACTCGCAGCCAGTTTATAAACTGCAATCACTAATTAGTCAGTTATTTGTAAAGGTTCAAAATGAAAAGTATAAGTACCTGTGTGTTTCCCTGCCTGTTCATGGAGAATGTCTTCATGCAAAGCAATTCAATGGATACTTTCCTACCTAAAATTGTTCACATGCACACAAAACACCATCCTACCCACATAGCAGACAGGTGTGGGCCAGAACTGCTGTCAAGCTGATACTGATGGCGTGGCAAGTGATTTTTCAACTGGATGTGGAGCTGTTACTGTTTTTTAAAGTCACAACTGGTCCAGTTGTGGTTTGTTTCATGTAGTACTAGCCTACATTGGCAAAATCACATCTGGACCATCATTCTTTGAGGTATCAGGTGTTGGTAAACTGCCATCACATTTTAAATTCAGTTGGGGTCTATATAAAGTGGAACTCCAATGCTGTGGTCTGAATTCCTCGTTAACGTAGCTCCACCCCTCTCCACTTACCCTTTCTGAGGAAGTGATTTTCGTTTCACTCTCTATTGATGTGAGGTGCAGTCATATTGAAATGATGGCATAACGCGTGCTCAGGTAGGTTTGTGCTACACTGACTTCCTGACTGGAAATTATGCCATTAGGTGCCGTTCCAGTTGATATTTCTGACTCTGAAGCCAGGAATTCCAATCACAAGGACAAATGGAATGCATCATCACTCCCAGTAATCATTGTCCACTCCATTCAGCCATTTTTGTAGTTTGATAGCTGAGATGTGACTATCTAGCGGCACAGAAACTTTTTATTTACAAATTGATTAAAATATGTCAACAATGGTAAACTTGTCCATCCAACCTTACATGTTGGAACCAGAGTCTGACCCACAACTAGAGGAGAATGAAGATGACAAACCTGCAGAACTGTGAATTCATGAAATTGGTAGCAGTTCTGCAGCAAATACTGTGACATAAATAGTTCAGAAAACGTTAAAAAATAGAGAAAACCAAATAAACTCAAAAGCATGATCCAAAAACAATATAGATACAGTATCTACACAGCACAGAGAGAGACTAAATTCAATTTGAGTACACAAGAAAATGCATTTATAGGCTAAACCAGTGAATTTTGCATGATATATCACCTTTGATATATCATATGATTGCAAGAAAACAGGTTAATTTTCAGTTGCAGTCACTTTTTGTGTGTACAGCTTGGAAATAATTATGAGTTTGATGCCCACCTCCACCCACACCTGGCTCGGCCTGCTTTGTCTCCTTTGGGAACTGTCCCCCATGTTTATGGTGGAATTTATCGGAGGATGCTTTTGAAATAAAGCTAGGTAAAATTGAAAGTTTTTAATAATTCTAATTTATCACTGATGGGGTTTGTATTCATTCAGGGATGTACCCTACAAGTAGGATGTTTTCTGTCAAAGAGGAGTTTTGTACCTGTGTCATAGTGCTCTAAAATTAGGAAACCTAAATTGATAAGGGTTTGGGGCACCCAAGTCTTGGGTTTTTCAAAGGAAATTTGTCACAAATTGGTTCAAAATTCAAGTGACAAGACTTTGTGCCTTTGTGACTCGTGAGGAAACTGACAACTCCTGTAAACTTTACAAAACATTTTGGAGACTCCCTCTTTAATTCTGTTCACTATTTAGTCATCATCAGTCACAGTGAGATGCTGGTTTTGGGTCTGTCAGAAACAAACCAAGCAGATTTAGGTGCTGACACCATGAGCACAATACTGAGCTATTGTTTTTCATAGGTTAGGTTTGCATAACAGCACTCAGTACTCACTGACCTTACATAACTTCTAAATTTGCCTGCAGCTCTTTAACTGCTTCACTTATTCACTTCACAATCTGCTTCTGCTCAGTTTTCCTCATCAGTCTCCAGTTCCACTCTGGTAACCCTTTTGTTGTTGACTGTGAGTTTTACTCCGTTGGTTTCAGCACCTGCCAATCTTTTTCGCATGCACCAACAGCTCTTACTGCTCTGACTGTTCATGCATAACCTGAAATCATTAAGAGAGGCTGAATGGGACAAAGAGATAGCTGGGTGGGAATCCCTGTCAAAAAACTGATGTCTCATGGACAACACCATTAAGGTATTTATTTAATTTTTAAAGACAAAACTTGAGTCAAATGCTTTCTGTAGCCCCTTTCCCAATGCTGTTGATACAGTATTTGTAAGGTGGCTTCAACAATCAACTTGGTTACCAATACTTTATATACAGTGGGGAAAATAAGTATTTAGTCAGTCACCAATTGTGCAAGTTCTCCCATTTAAAAAGATGAGAGAGGCCTGTAATTGACATCATAGGTAGACCTCAACTATGAGAGACAAAATGTGAAAAAAATTTGAGAAAATCATTTTGTCTGACTTTTAAAGAATTTTTTTGCAAATAATGGTGGAAAATAAGTATTTGGTCAATAACAAAAGTTGGCCCATTCCTCCATGCAGATCTCCTTTAGAG